ATTTGGTGGCCCTAAGTCGTCGAGTAGAGGGCAGACTATACGCGGGGCTTAAGCTATCTACTCAATGAGTCAAGAGCCATCGAATCGGCGAGTAGATCGGCCAGAGTGAAACCCTAATTTCGGGGTTTTGCACCCTATTTAAGCTCTTTAACCCCCACCCCTTGGCCTCATTTCCAGCCTCCATGTCCCAAACCCTAATCCACGAAACCTTAGAGCTTTCTTTGAGAGTGTGAGCCATTTTGAGTGATCTTTATGTGCTTTTGAAGCATGTGGAAGAAGAAGAAGATAGAGGGCTCAAGAGGGAAAGAGTAAATCCAGAAACTACACACCATTTCCTACATTTTCTGGTAATCAAGTATCTATCTTGGCTATTAGTTCATTAGATCTCTTTATGTCCATCTTTATGAGGGTTTTGTCCAAGAATGATAAGCTTTTGAAGATTGATAGACCCAAGTGGGTATTCTTCCAGATCTAGGACCTAGAGGGGCTGATAGGACATAAAGGTGCAAACTTTATGCCATTGGAGCCCCCATGCAAGCCATAGAGTGTCTTATCTAGGCTTTTAACAAATTCAACTTATATTAATGTATAGTACATACTAGATTATGACCCGCGTAAAACGCGGAGGAACATATAAAAAAATACATATTTAATAAAATATAAAAGGTATAAAAAGTTGGCACAATAATAATAATAATAGGAAGTTCATGAACTGATCAAAACACGAAGTATCCACTATATTCCAGTGTGCTGCAACACATAAGAACACATCAGTTTGAACAAACACAAATATAGATCACACAACAAACAAACAAAAGACACATAAAGAAAATAAAAATGTACTTTGGAATATATACCCAAATATAGCATTCTACTTCCATTTTTCTATATTTGACAAAATAGAAAACAAAAGTACGATGCTATATTTGAAAAAAATAAAAATACATTCCTATTGGCAAAGCAGAAAATAAAAGTAGGATGCTATATTTGAATAAAAAACATAAGTAAATTGCTATGAAAGTATGAAGCATAAAAAGATACCATAATTTCTCGATTTAACCTAGATCTGAACCAACCTGAAACATCGATAAAAGATATCATGTATTGTTTTCCAATCTTTATGTCAAGAAATTGACCATTTGTGAAAAAAACACATAGGAAGAGTTGTAGACAATACCTTCAGACAATAGGATTATTATTGGTACTTATAGTAACATTTTTGAACATCCCGACCACCGATTTTCCCCACAACAACCCCCATTCGTCACCTAAACAGACCCAAGAAAGCAACAAAATACCAAATCATCCCAATCCCCCTTTAAAAAAGTACAATACTATATTGAATAGCTTTTATCAAAGTAAAATGCATAAAAAAGTACAATACTGTTACCATTTGTTTCCTCTAGCAAATTGCTAGGGGTGGACCTCTTTTAATCCTTTTAGTGGTTTCCAAAAAAAAAATACTACCAGAAGCGAGTGAATCAACGGTCAAATGTCCATAAATTCAACTTATATTCATGTATAGTACATATTAGTTAAAATTTTTGGTATATACCAAATACCAATATATACCAACCAAATTTGTTGGTAGCCAAATTAATTGGTACCAAGTACACTTGGTACGGTACTGGTAGCTAAAATCTTATACCAACTATAGTTGGTACGGTACACAGTTTGGAGAAAAAAAACTCGGTACCGTACCAATTCCACCCCTAGTCTTATTGGCCTTTTTAGCCCGAAAAGGCCATGCCTGTGGAAAAAGGTGGGAACTTTACATGTATAAGTAGTGTTAGGGGTTTAGATATGAGGTTGTAAGCTTTAGTTGGGTGTAGGGATGGCTTAAGGACCAAGTTCTAGGTACCAAGGAATTAGGGTTTGAGCTAAACCCTTTTAGAGGAGGTATTAATGGGTAAAGTTAGAAACTTTACCCTTAAAAGGACATTTTCAGGGTTTATGTGAAGTATGAAGCTTGGATCTGAAGTGTACGGGCTTAATCCATTAAGATAGCCCAAACAGCAGGGGAACTCGGCGAGTCCAGAAAGGGACGTGATTTCGGGTTGTCCCGATTCTATGCCAGGTAGAACTCGACTAGTCTGTGAAGGGACTCGAAGAGTTGACTCGGTTGATCACGAGTCTGAGTAGTATAGGAACTCGTCGAGTTAGGAAGTAACTCGACGAGTTGAGTCGACTGGGAGTTAACCTAAATTTGACTTTGACCAAGATGTTGACTTTGACCAGGGGTAAAATGGTCATTTTACCCTAAGAAGGATTATCAGATATTGATTAAGTGTTATTGTGATTTGATAGTCGGGGAGTCGTTGGAGCAGCCGTCAGAGATTCCTCACACGATATTTCACAGCTAGCATTCGAGGTGAGTTTTCCTCCAGTAGGACGGGTCTAAGGCACCAAGGTCGGCCCGTATATGCATGTTTAGTAGCCGAGTGTGGGCGAGGCCCGTATCTCCCAGTTAGTCGAGTGTGGGCGGGGCCCGTATCTCATAGCCAACTGAGTGTAGGCGTGGTCCGTATCTCCAAGTTAGCGGAGTGTGGGCAGGGCCCGCATCTCCAAGAGTGTGGGCGGGGCCCGTATCTCCTAGCTGTATGTTATTTCGTATGTGGTAGTTGGGGAGACTCACTAAGCTTCGTGCTTACAGTTTTCAGTTTTGGTTTCAGGTACTTCCACTAGCAAGGGGAAGAGCTCGGGATGACTTCATGACATACACCACAATTTATAGCCTGGGATGTTTTAGACACTGATATTTTGATACATACCCTTGATACCGTATTTGGATATGATGTTTTGGTTACATGACTTGTGATTTTATTATGATATTGATGCATTATGGTTTTCTTAAATGATTTTAAAAAGAAAATTTGGACCGTATTTTTGGGATGTTTCAGTATGATTTCCAAGCACGCAAGTTTTGGGGAGTCTGGTCTGCGTCCTAGATATCGGTCCTATGGCTCCAATTACCATGTAGTATGACTTATCAATCCTTTATGGCCTTATTCGTCATACAGTCACAACTATCTAGGCATAATTGGTATCTCAATTCTGCCATTCCCTCAATGAGATTGTTGTGTAGACATATTCTTTTCGGAGTTCTAACTACCAAAGTATAATTGGCATCACAATGCCACCATCCCCGAATAAGATGGTTGTTTTGATATATTACTTTTTTCCAATACATTCACATTCATATGATGCATGAACACACTACAAATGTTATTATTATTTATTTAGGTTGGTCAACAATAAATTTATACACCAAAAAGTATTATTATTTATTTGTTTTTATATCACCATTTAACAAACCCATAAATTCACATAAAGTTAATAGTAGTGTTTATTATTTGTTCTTTTGCATATTATTTTTCAGTTGTTTGTACTAGAAAATAATTCTTGTATATTCTAGGATTTGGGTCTTAAAGAATTGAATCATAGACTTAGTCATAATGTATTTACTCTTGTTTTAAGGAGGGTTTTCATCTTAAACTTTATGCCTCAATTATATTTCATCATTATTAGATTATTGTTTGTCGGAATATTTTAACGTATAATTCTCTTAATATGTTATCACAAAGTGTGTGAATATATTTGGCTATGCATTTTTATTTTCATCAAACGATGAATCTAAGTGTCTATCTCATCACTTTTCATCTTTGATAATCTTGACAAATTTTTCAATCATGAGTACTTGACCTTCTATTATTATTATTATTAGTGGATATGTGCATCGATCTATATTCTCCTTTTGACCTTTATACAAATAATATAGCCTTAAACAAAAGTGGTACTAATATGCTTGGTTGGAAAACTTGTCCTAGGAAAGCGAAGGGATATAGGTTCACCCGTTAAGTGTGGGTGAGGTTGGGATTGCTCACCCGAGAACTTGGTGACCAAAGATGGACCGTCGGAAAACTTGTCCTCATGCAAGCGAAGGGATATGGGTTCAGTGGTTAAGTGTGGGTGAGGGTGGGATTGTTCACCCGAGAACTTGGTGACCAAAGATGGACCGTCAACAATGATGTTGTACATAAGTGTGGGCAATGGTTTCGAGATACGATGGTGAAATTAGATAATAATATAGAGATACATGTATAAATATAATAAAAATATAAAAAAAGAAAATTATAGAAGTGTACAAAAATCTTTTTATATCGGTCTAAGACTACTCGGAGTGGGCGTTATTGTGCCTAATAACACATGATAACGCCAATGAACACCGCCCCTCCCTCCCGTTAATGCGTGTTAAAGGCATTTCCCGTTACTTCCCGTTACCACCATAACATGTGGTAACGGCGTTTTCTTGTTTTTTCTCCTAGTAACGCGTGTGGGCGTTGCCCACACCCACCTCTCTAAGGGAGGAGAGAGTCATTCCCTCCCAAGCCACTGAACCCACTGCCACATCACTTTTTCTCTTTTGTTTTTCTTCATATTTCCAAACCCACAACACACGGAAATCATATCTTTTTGAACCCACTCAACTCACTCAATTAAAAAAAAAATACAAAACAATCAAATGTAAAATCTTAATTAGCAATAGAGTTATCGGCGGTACCACTCCCGCTTCAACGAATGAGTTGATTGGTTTCACTAACCCACATCATCATCTCTCTACTTTCTCTTTCTTATTTTCTCTTGTACCATGTGTTTTAAAACTTGTATCTTAGTTGTTTTGTATTTTTTTAATTGAGTGAGTTCAAAAAGATAGAATTTATGTATGTTGTGGGTTCGGAAAAATGAAGAAAAATAAAAGAGAAAAAATAATGTGACAGTGGGTTCGTTGGGTTGGGAGGGAACGACTCCTCCTCCTTAAAAGACTAAAACCATGTATGTAGCAAAAATCATTGTCAAGATTCAAGGTGTAACATAAAACGATTGGCAACTAAAAATGTGTATTTAACCATAATTAATGCTGCACAACTCCTTCACACGCATCCACCCCTCGCTTTAAAAATACTAAACACGTGCGCCATCCGCATGTTTAGGAAGTCCTATTTAATCCCACCACTGTCTTTCCCGTAATCTATTCAACATTTTCATCAGAAAATCCATTTTAAAGTCTCCGCTTTTCTCTCCCCACTCACAACCCAACACAACACACCTCCACCACCACTTCCCTATCGCCGGCTGCCGGCGACTTCTCCTTTTCCGGTCATCCTACTAAGTCTGCGATCTTCTGTTAGTCGGAGAAGGATTATTGTTTGTTATATAAGATATATGACGTCGGGAACAAGGTTGCCGACTTGGAAGGAGAGAGAGAACAACAAGCGTAGAGAGAGACGGCGGCGTGCCATCGCCGCTAAAATATTCGCCGGACTCAGAGTCTATGGAAACTACAAGCTGCCTAAGCACTGTGACAACAACGAGGTTTTGAAAGCCCTTTGTAATGAAGCTGGTTGGATTGTCGAAGAAGATGGCACCACTTATCGTAAGGTAATCTCAAATCCACATCCTAATAATTTCCAATCTATTTTGAAATAGCAATCATTGTTCGTTTCCATGGAATTATAGCGTTTGTGATCGATTTACGGAATCTGCACCTTGTAAATTCTGTAAACTCCTTGATTTAGGATGTGCCGATGGTTTTTAGATCTAATTGTTTCGGTTAATAACTTTTAGCTTTTTAGTCAATCCGATTATCGATCTAGTACTAAACGTGAAATCCGAATTCCGATTTATAATACTGGTGATGAATTGTGTCCAAATTAGGAATCAATTACTCAATCAAGCTGAATCGTGCAGCTATCCGTTATTAAAAGCAACAGTGATAATGAAATTTGACTAGTTTTAGGTCACAAGTTCGTTTATGGATCTGGACGTTTGTCGTTATCGGAGACAAGGTAACGTGCTTCCCGTGCATATGGCGCATGCTATCACGATGGAGTAGCACTCAGTCTCAGCTGACCTGTTCTTACATCTCTTTCAGTGTGTTTTCTCTCTCTAACATCGTCAACCATGGAGGCTAACTTACTTTTTTTCTAGTAAAATAATCAATCGTGTTCTCCCCAAGCGTACGATAGCTTACTTTCACGCAACACGAAAGATTCTTTCTATATTTTTTTCTCCCCTGAAAAAGCAACTCTTACATTTCTCCCAAATCCCAATCATATTATCATAGCCATTGTTGCATCTTCTTCTTGTTCATGTTGATCTTACTAATTTGTGTATTTGTGTAGGGTTGTAAACCGGCGGCGAGAGTGGAGGCTAACGGTGGATCAGGATCAACATCCGCCAGTCCATGTTCATCATCATACCAACCAAGTCCAAGTCCAAATCCTTCCTACAATTTAAACCCTAATTCATCATCTTTTCCTAGCTCAATCTCATCCCTGTATACGAACAGTAATCCCGACCCTAATTCTCTTATCCCATGGCTAAAAAATCTCTCATCAGGTTCTTCACCTTCATCAAATTTCCCCCACCATCTCTACTTCCCTGGTGGCTCCGGTTCCATAAGTGCTCCAGTCACACCTCCATTAAGCTCACCCACCTGCCGAACACCTAGAATGACCGACATCCCCGGGCAGGCCGGGCAGCATTACCCTTTTTTACCTTGTTCCACCCCTCAAAGCCCCGGGCGGCAAACACCAACCGGGTCAGGGTGGCTCTCGGGGGTCCAGACCCCGCAAGACGGGCCATTGTCACCCACTTTTAGTCTTGTGGCATCGAACCCATTTGGGTTGCTTTCGGGTACCGGGTCCCGGATGTGGACCCCGGGGCAAAGCGGTATGTGCTCGCCAGCTGTCACTGCTGGGTTTGACCAAAATGCGGATGTTCCGATGTCGGATGTGATTTCGGCTGAGTTTGCTTTTGGGAGTAATATGAAAGGTTTAGTGAAACCGTGGGAAGGCGAGAGGATTCATGAAGAATGTGTTTCTGATGATCTTGAACTCACCCTTGGTAACCCTAGCACTAGGTAAGCACTCGTAGGGTTAAATTTCAATGATGAGAATGAGGAGGACATTTATGTCTTTTACTCAGACGAGACGAGAGATCGAAAGTGAATCCTTGTTCCACCTTTTTTAGTGGGACAAGTATCACAATTTTTGTCTCATTGACATCAACATCTGTCAATGTCAAACTCAATCTCAAATACAGTACAACCGTCAATGTCAAACTCAATCTCAAATACAGTACAACCTGTTATGTTATTTAAAAGATTTATTTTCTGTTTTATTGTAGATAAGAGGAGTGAATGTAGAAGGATGGTGGAGTGTGGAGTGTATTATTTTGGTTTCTGCTTTTGCTAATCCTTCTAATTCAAGGTATTCATTGTTGTTTTGCAACCAAGTGTTATTAAATGTTCTTTCTTAGAATATATATTTTTTTTCTTCAGATAAAGGGAGAGAAATGCATAGTAAATTATAGTTGATAGATAGAGTTCATGTATGGTGGCGCTTTGTATCTCTTTTTTTGAAGAATTCTTCTATTATGCTTTCCTTATTTATTTATTTATTTATTTGTTTGTATTCCTATAAAGTATATCATTGAAACACTAAGTACCAAATTTTATTTTTCATTTCTTGTATATCATTATTTCATGAGGTTTCAATTTCCCAATTTTTTTTTTCATAAACATTCTTATCATCTTGGTGAAGGGATTCGTTATATGGCTTAACTCGGTTAATGTTCGCAGGGCAAGTTAAAGTCATGGAGTTCAAATTTTGATAACTTTTGATAAATCTATATGTTCGTTTGAAAATAACTATATCATTGAAATAATACTTAGGTTGTGTTTGACACGACACAACTAACTTATTTTTCGAGCTTTTTTAGGTTGTCTTGTTTGTTAAACAAAAAATAGCTTATAAGTTAGCTTTTTAAAAAGCTAGTTAGACTAGCTTTTTATTAGTCTTTTAAAAATTTTCTATATATATATATACCCTTTAAATAATTATAGAAACCATATTCTTTTAAATGTCATTTTATGTTATTTTATATTTTTCTGCTAGCTTATTAGCTAGTTTTACCAAATGTCAAATTTTATTAGCTAGTTTTTCATATAACAATTAGTTTTTCAGTTAGTACGTCAAACATAGTCTTAAAAGTAATAAATTCAAATTTTGATAAATATATATGTTGTTGAAAATAAATATATCGTTGAAATTTACTATGAAATACTCCGTAACAATTATAACATTAAGTTGCTATATAAAATTGTAACTATTTTGAAGAATATGTACTTCAATAATATTAACTAATGTCTTCTTCACGTAACTTCTGTATTAATGAAATTAAATATTTTGACATATATATTGCTGAAAAAATAATTATATCATTAAAATTAACTATGAAACAATAATTATAACAAAATTATACTTTTTTTGAACACTATAACAAAAAAAAACATGTATTACAATAACATTTTCTAATGTTATGTCTTTTGTATGTATCTTGCGAATTAATGAAATTAAATATACTTATCGAAATGATTTAGTGTTACCTATCTTATCATATTATCTTGAAAATTGGGTTATGTTGTTGATTTAGTGTTACTCGGCCTTCTCTAATAGTTAAATTTTGAAAAAATTTATACTTTTATATCACATTTTCATTAATTTTTATTGATAAAAGCAAACTTTTGTTATAAAGTGTTAGCTTGGATGAATCAAAAAGGCATTATCGTCTTTTCTATCAAAAGGGATTTTATGTAATTTAACTTAAATCAATTAGAATTAGTTACAGTTTTGTTCAGTTAGCTTTCTTGTTAAGCAGTTTATATTCAAATGGTCTGTATCTGTTGAATTAATCGGTTAATGAGAATGAAAAGTTTAAATCTCTCTTTCTGTCTCTAAACTCATGTATTGTTTATTCTAAAACCAAGCATCACCGTTTACCTTTTCCTCACAGTGAATCTTATTCTATATTTCCATTTGACCTGATTCTAATTGATGTTTGGGGACCGTACAAAAATATTTTATCATCATTATAGACGATCATAGCAGACATACATGGGTTCATTTAATCAGCCACACAAGCTATGCTTTTTCCTTGATAAAAGCTTTTATTTCACTATTATAAGGGTGTAAACGAGCCGAGCCCGAGCCTAACCAAGCTCGAGCTCGGTTCGAGCCTTAAAATGAAGCTCGAGCTCGGCTCGTGAATAATTTAGTGAGCTCGCGAGCC